CTGCCTGCATTCAATGAAACTTTAAAGCATTAAAATACCTACAATGACAACAACAAAAAAAACATAAGCGCTTGCACGCCGCCAACACGGACAATGATGAATTGTTTGAGAAGAAAAAAAAAAAAGTTTAATAATTGCATTGCTGCAATAAATGCGTGTGTGGTCAAGATTATTTAGCTAATGCTTTGTTGTTGTTGGTGAACGCTCTGAGAAGCTGCTGCGGAGTGAGTGCAACAGGCATTTATCACTTCCCCCACACTCCGCTGCCATCATCTTTGCTGCTCTGCTGCAGCTTGCAGGGGCTATGCAGGTCAAACTTATTAAGAAAATGCGCTGGTGGCATTGCTGGTCTCTGATCCGCTGATGCGACGGGGAGCTGTGGCTTGTAATGTGACCAGGTCGCCTGCTGCCATTACCACCCCATCACGCACGCATCATAAAAAACACACAATTAATGCCACCAACAACAGCAGTCATCAAATTCAAGCGTTGACCACCGGCAGTCAATTGCTACTTACATACATCAAAGAAAAAAAGCGATGATGAATAAAATTTATAAAAAAAAAAAAAAAAAATCTGTCCGCTTCATCACCATCACTCACATCGCTGGCTGGCTTCCCTCTTCAGTTGTAATACAGCGAAAAGTGCATTTGCAAGTAGTAGACTTTCGCACAGCTATCTTTTACAAGACGCTGCAAGCGTTCGATGCATATACTAATTTGAGTTTGTATATGAGTTTCCCTGCAGGGAAATTAAGATTGCAAACCTTTGAAGTACTACTTAATTCAATAAAAACCCGCTAGACGACTTCTCAGTGTGTTGTTTAGATGAAATCGCCGAGTCGAAGTTGAGCCATTTTAAAACGAATGCAAGTGGATTACCTACGACAATAATTTCCAAAACGGTTCGTGGCCGAGGCTGGGACAATCTTCGGTCACAACACCAAAGAAGTTGTAGCTGGCCATTATGATGGGGTGTGAAAGCAAAAGTCAATCAAGAGATGCTCAAAAGCGCTGCTTAAAATTCGCTGCTCTCAACGATTTATGAGGCTAGAAGTAAACAAAAAAATTAAAATTAAAAGTGCGATATTTATCGAAATACCGCAAACAATCTAACTACAAGTAGGTTAATTTTATCAGCTGTTAATTTTTTACTACAGGGAATGTGCCATGTTACTTCACAACACCATTTTGTCACTCCACATACCAGATAGTTTGTTGACTTGGAAATATTTGTAAGTGGTCCCCTATTATTATAACAAAGTATATACATATATATTCTTTTGTTACTTGTTTGTTGTCATTGCTTGCTTGTTAAAAATGAATTTATGTTATTTCATCTTAATTAACTAATAATTGTTTGTTTCAACGCTCATATGTGATTGTATCTGTGGTAAAAGTTTCATCCAACAAAGTATCAATTTGTGTACTTGCTTTCACGCTTCTGCTGGTTTCTTCTTTGTTTTCTCTTGCTATGTACATATTTACGTATATACATACGTATGTAGGTATGTGTCATCCTTCTTCAAGTATGACCGCTTTGTACCGAGTAGTGTTATATGGAATTTGAGCCTTTGAAATGAGCCGCCCATTTAAAGCAATTGATGC